TTATTGCATCTGTTCGTAACTTGTGAATAAAGGCAGGATGAAGCTTAATGAATTCAAACCTTTAAGAACTGTTTTAAGGGAATTTTCTTTTCTGAAACCATTTGTACAATTTTAATATCTATTTCAGGATTGTATTTAAAATATTTATTAGTGAACATACAGTACACAAGGCAACTTTTGTTACCAAGACTGCAGTTCTTGAAGGGTTAATGGTATGTGATTTATACTGTGCCTTAATTGTTATGCTATTTAAAAAGAAATATTTATTTTGAAAGTTCTACTATGCTGCGCTCTAAAGAAAGCAACTTTAGATGTGACACTGTAAAATTATGTATTCATCTCATGGCATAAATTATTTAGTAGGGTTAGATGTAGCATATTAAATATTAACCTAATTAACTAAGGATTTTGACTTGGATTTATTTAAATTCAGTAAGTGCACTGTATGAGGGTACCCTTAAATTAACACTTTTCTAGGTTTTTACATAAAATATTGCTAGTTCATTCTTTTTCCCTCTAATAGATGTCCATGTAGACCTCTCAAATACATTAGTGCAGTTTTCTCACTCATCTGTATGTAGACTGACTATTTTTCCCTTTGCTAGGAAATGCTGCTTTACATTGTCCTGTGAAACTACAATACTTGCAATTTTTATTCTTGACCGAAATGGAATTTAGTATTTTAACACTGTATTGGATTTTTTATACTTGAACAATTTCATACAAGGGAAGACAGGATAGCATTTTTATGGACTTTGTCCAATGTCACTGGATTTATTTTAAGTATTCTGAATACTAGCCAGTGTTATAATGTAGACATGACTCTCCTGTGCATATTATTTATTCAGTATGTATATTGCTTTAAAACATTTTAGATCTTTTAATCTATTCACTCATATTAAAAACAATAAAAAAAAATTGTCGCATCCCGTCTCTTGAAGTTTTTGCTCAAGTTGTCTTAGGTCTTGTCCAGCTAAAGTTAGGGGGCCAACCTTATGTGTAATTTTCCCAGTGTGGGGGAGAAACGTATGCAATGGCTTTAAATGCACAGATAGATGTAAACTGTACTAAATGGAGGAAATTCTACAGAGAAGACTGAGAAGATCCACCCTGAGTCATCATAAAGGAATCGAGAGTGCAGGGGACTTTGGGAGGTCATCTAATCCAGCCCAGGTTGCTTATACCTTTGTCCAGTCGGGTCTTAAAATGCAGACTGCACAACCCCTCTGGGCGATCTGTTACACTGCCTGTTTGTCCACATGGTATCATTTTTTTTCCCCCTTTTATCTAACCCAAGCCTCCCGTGTTCGTTTACGATCTTCGTTGCTCATTCTTTGGCAGAGAGCCCAGCCCTATCTTCTCAGCAAGCTCCTCTTTAGGAACCGCAAAGTTGCTGTTCTCTTCTGCGCAGTGAACAAACCCCGTTGCCTGAGCCTCTCCCTCTAAGCCTCATGCTTCAGCCCCCAGCCATCTTGTGGGCCCTCCGATGGATTAATTCAGGTTTACCAACTGCTTTCATGCACCGGGAGACTCCAGACTGGATCCATTCTGCCAGATGTGGTCTAGTGAGTGCTGAGTGAAAGGGAATTATCAATTTCCTTGATCTACCACCTGTGCTCCACTTGATAGGGTCACATATCAGTCCTTTCGCTGCTGCCAGGGTTTGCACTGACAGCGTTCAGCCCACGCCGAGGCCTCCCGTGTGTTTCAGCAGAGCTGCTGCCAACCCAGTCGTGCCCCGGCCTACACAGGGGGCCAGTCCCTCCAAGACGGAGGGTGCTGCATTTGTCCCCACAGCATTTCAAGAGGGTCCTGCTGGTCCTGTCCTCTAGCAAGTGTGAATCCCTCTGAGCAGCAGGCCTGGCCTTGAGCATACCAGCTTCTGCCCTCCATTTAGTATCATCGGCCCACAGCCTGATAGTACTGCATCCTGTCTCTTACTCCTGGTCACTGATAAAGATATCAGAGAGGACAGACCCCCGAGGAATTCAGTTTGTAACCAGCTTCCAGAGTATGAGCCCATTTGAACAACACCCTGGTCAGGATTTTGCCCATCTAGCCTGCAACACCCAGAAGTGGGTGTGAGGATTCTGTGCAGTATTGCACTAGAAGCCTTGCTAAACTCAAGGCAGACAACAGCCTCTGCTTTCCCCTCATCCACAGATGAAGGCAGTTCATCACAGGAAGCAATCAGGTTGGTCTGGCATGATTTACACTTGAAAATCCCTGCTGGCTCTTCCCAGTCACCACTGTCCCTTTCATCATGTGCTCAGGAATGACTTCTAAGATGTTTGCACCACGATTGTCCCAGAGACTGGCTGTCTGCAGTTCCCTGCATCGTCCTTCTTGCCCTCTCTGGAGATGGGTGCATCATTTGCCTTTCTCCTGTAATGGAAAACCTCTCCTGATCTCTATATCCTTTTAAAGATGATAGTAAGCAGCCTCACAGGGACAGGAGCCAGCTCTCTTAGTACCCTTGGCTGCAGCCCATCTGGGAGGTGAGCAGAAAACCCTTAATAAATGCTCTTTTATACTCTCTTCTCCCACTTCCCCTTCCTGATCTTCCCCAGAGTAGGTCTGTCTACAGGACGTGGTATCAGATAGTAATTAAAAGCAGACGTCCCTCTGACTGGAAGATGGAGGGCACAGATGTCTCAGGAAAATGTGTGGCATGGTAACCTATTATTTGATCTAGGATAAAGAAGGCATCTTCATCCTACATGGATACATCCCTGCCAGTGTCCTGGGACCCTCCCCTGCCTCCACATGGAGGTGACAGACACCCCGGGGTGTGGTGCGATGGGGAATGCTCTCTGCCCTGGAGCGGGGCTGCATTGAGATAAGCCACAACAGGAACAGAGTAAGTTTATGATTCAGCTTATAAAGGTCAATTGCATGCTGGCTCCGTAACTTGACAATTTAAATAACCTGCGTGGAAATGCAAATGTGCAAGTTCCACCAGCAGAGCTAGCTTTGGACATGCAACATGAACACTGCCTTATTCTTCCTAAATGTATAGCTGAACAGACTTCTGTGTATAAAGTATATCTCAATAACACCCCACATACATGAAATGCAAATAGTTCATAGACCAAGACTAATATAAAATAGCTCAGAAAGAGCAGTACTTAATTTTGAAATATGTGAATACTCAGCAAAAATGTTAGCATTTTACTTGAGAGATGGCATATGTATGTGTAACAAGAAGTAGCACACAATACAATTTTCAATTGTGTTTTCAAAACCTTTAAAACATTTTACATGGAAAAGTGACTGGTGCCAAGCTTCTTGCAGAGGGAGGAGAGAAACTGAAATTGGGAACACCTTCATCCAGGAATGTGTAGATCAAAGAGGTGTCAGGCCTTGAAAGGTTGTACTGATAAGCTGAAGCTGATAGAATTGCCATTTTTCTGAATGTCTGCATTTACCTAATAACTAATGAACACAATTTGGCATTACTAGAGTTCATTGCGACTTTTATGGGATTTTTTTAAACAAGTGAAATGAAAATACTAGGATTAAAACATGATGCAACCATTCAAAACATCCTCTAGTCTTGCTATTCAGATGCTGAGCCTCTTCAAACTAAGCAATTCCCCACTTCTGCTCAAAACTGTAAGAAAAAGCATTCTGTTCTGCACCTAAGTTTAAGTTTCAAACAGCTTGCACACTTGATTTAAATTGTTTTCAGTTCAATTTCAATTTATTTTCCATTTTTTAGTATACATAAACCTCTAAGCATTGTATTCTGACTGCAAAGAATGTAACTTCATTCATTTTTTTTCCTATGTGTTTGAATTTCAAACCTTTAGGTGATACTTCCTCAAACTACTAGCAATAAAACAGGCTCTGGGCAAGGTCTAACTGTAAAAAGCTCAGGCCTATAGGAAATTTTTTTATGAAAAAAAATGGGTAAACTGAAGATTATGATGGATTTTTTTAACTTTCACCAAATATTCAGTCCTGTGATACAGTAGGAAGAATAGGATAATGTAAGAAAAAAAAACAGAAGAAAAAAAAAAACACTCAGTATGACACTACATTTCCTATTACCAAGAAGAGTATATATTACACCCTCTTGACTAGCAAGTCTATAAAAAATGCATGCTAGAAGCTTACATCCAACTGTTCCAACTACATTCAGAAAACAATAAGGAAATGCTCTTTTAAACTAGTTTATTACTTTCACACCACCATATTACTAGGCATAAGAATCCCAAGGCACAGATTTGTTATATTGTTATATACTGCATTTAGCAAAGCCAAGAAAATATCTTAGAGTAGCAGCAACGAAAGGTTTTTAAGAGCTTTGAAAATAGTAACAGTTATGAGTGAATCTACATTTTGCTTACTATGACCAATGATTGGGCCTTGGGGGTTTCCTGTGTTTGTTTTTTCCCCCCAAAGCCCAGTCAAAAACTGTGAGAACAAATAAGCCTGACATAGTGTCAAAGAGTAAGGAAAAGCTCCAACTATGACTGCATCCAAACATGCAGATATGCACATAGGACAATTATCAGCTTTTCTCAGTGTGAAGAAAAATAGCTCTGAAACTTTTCCCAGTTCGACGTGCCAATTCTGCTGTGATAAGCTATGAATTTGGGCTAGCTTACAGTATCATTATTTCTGACCTAATCGCTCGTGGATTAGGGAGGAACCCCCCAAAGATTGCTTCATCACCAAGCATCTGAAAGTCAAGAGATACAGAAATCCAAATTAATTGATGAGAGCTCTCTGAGATAGATATGCTCTTGAGCTCAGTACAGTCATTTTTAAATCTTTAGATCAGGCTCCATAGGTGTGCCTGCTTGTTCTCCCCTCTCTAGATGAGGCTGTTGTGGGTCAAGAGCTCTGCACTTCTGTACAGGGCAAGGGCTCTTGCAGGTGCTTGCTCATCTCCTGCTTAAGAGTGGATGAATCATTTCAGTCACATTAGGAAAAGTCTAGTCTTTTACCTCAAATTTATTTGAACGTCATGAAATCTGGAAAAAAAAAATCTTATTAAAGAAAGAACCCTTCCTATCCACAATTCACCTTCTTCTGAATCCACTTACTTCATTTGAGACCAGAGCAAAAGACGACAAAATGCCCAAACTGACAGAGGTAGATCATAAGGAAAGCTCAGTGATTTCACTGCTTGCCATTCATTTTTTAAAAAAAGCTTTGTCTCTGCATTTGCAAAGGGCACAAATCAATCTTTATGACACATTTGAAGAACATGAAATGTTTTTACCCAGCAATGCAGATAAAGGATTTTACCAAAAACTTGTTTTGTTTTATTTTGTTTTTGGGGGGTGGGGTCCTGGTTTTTAGTAATGACAAAAATAAGCTAAAGCTTAAACACAATTCCCTCCCAGAAAAAAAAAATAAAAATTAAAAAAAAAAAAGTTTTATTTAAATATTTTGTGTTTTGTTCATTAAAAAAAAATAATAATAAATTATAAATTGTGTAAAAACAAAATATCCCGGCATTTAGAAATGATCAGAGTTGAATGTTCAGATTTTTTGCTGACATGAACCATTACAATTGAATAGTTTCCAAAAGAATACTGCATCAGTATATTTTCCAGCTGCTTCAAAGGGAGGCCTGATTACTTGCTCAAGGCTGTAGATGACATACTGTTGCCAAAAATTGGGATTCCCTGGCTATTTGCTCAAACCACTGGAATCCATCTCCTAATTTGATCACTAGCAATATTTCTGAATGAAGATAGAAGTAAAGAAAGTCTAGAGGCAAAGCTTGTTGGCACTAAGAATGCAACTCTGTTAGAAATACTTACAAAAGTCAGGCAATTTGGTGGTATTTCACACAGATAAGTAAACAATGGCGAGGGAAAAACCACAAACATAACCAAGTTGAAGCACAAGCTTTTCCTGAAGGTGTGTTCAAAACCTTTTAAAATGATGGTCAGTCTCAATTATAATTTCTTTATTGATAAAGGACCTCAAAAATGGGCTGATCTCTCAGCTCAACGCTTTCTTCCTACTTTTGGAAGATGGTAAGTAACACATCGGTGCAATAAGGGATATCCACAGTCTGGTTTTCAATGCATGGTTACAAAGCAGTGCCCATTCCTTGGCATGAATATATGTTACAAACATTGTTTACAGAAAACGTGGTCTTCATAAACCAAATACTAGGTAATTACAATATGCAAGTTTAAGCATTAGTCGTTCCTGATTTTCATCAATACTGGCCTTTTTCCATCAGTGAACTCTTTTATCAAGTAAATACATATACTCTTTTTCACATATTCTGTAAAGAGCATCCTTTCAGTAACCAAAGCGCCATCATAATTCAGAATGTTTTTAATGTAAGAGAGAGTACAAAGATCTCCAGGCTTTATTTTTCTGCAAATGTCACCAGTTCCACTTACACTACTGCATCCTGAAACTGGTTTTCCTCTGACCTTATCAAGAACAGCAATTTTCCTGTCTAACAGCACCTGGGATCTTGCCAGAAGAAATCAGAATCTAAAGTAAAGCTCCGAGAGCAGTGGCAGAGTGTGAAAACAGAAGTGTGTCCTCCAGCCTTCAGAGGGCTTCTGTCAGAAGGGAGCTCGCCCTCATGGGGCTGCTGTAGCTCAGCTGAGGGCCTGCGAAGGGCACGTGGCAGTTGAAAGGCTTTCTTGTGTGCACGCATTGGTTTAGCTTAATAGAAGCTAAGCAAAGGGCAAACAAAGCAGCCCTGTAGTACCTTTCTGGGGAAGAAAATCTTGGTGCCCACTGGAACTTCGAAGAAGCAAGCTGGCTTGGGAGACCTTGAATCATGTCGTCTGCATAATGCAGACCGTATGCAGCGCCTTGGTCTGATTCCGATGATGGTAGTGGCGCTTGCCAGCAGTGTGCTAAGAATACAGGTTGGCAGAGAGACAGTGTCTGCGGAGGAGCCTCAAGGAATCCAGCCTTCCTAAACTCAGGGAACGGTGGTGTTAGGGAGAAGCAGGCGCTGTGTCCTCTATAGCATGTAAGATAGGGTTTATTTGAAATGCAGCTGCACTGTATTAACAGCATTTTGTTTCAGGAAGACTGCTTGGCTCCTAATTACCACAGACGCCGCTGCAGAGAGGACAGAATAGCGAGCTTTGGGCACAATGGAGCTCAGCTCCATACCCAGGGACTGCAGCCAAGGCCCAGACTGCGAGCAGAAGATCTGCGTGAATCACCCTGAGAGGACTGCTGGAGGCTGAGAGGTTTGCTTTAAAGGGGTCAGGAGTACAGGCTGCTCAGTGGCAGTGAAAGTGCTATTGCTTGCAAATTTGAAAAGATTTACATGGATTCCTGACATTTACTGTGGTATTTAATGTGCTTACGAGGATGGTACGATTGTTCAGAGTTTTAAAACTGAAAGCAAATTTTCCAGGTCTTTACTGCCTGAGAATCAGGGTAGCTATTCCCCATTTGGTGTCTCCCAAAGACAAACATGCCAACCAGAGAACAAATTGTTCTTCAGTGGGATGTTATTAAATCTAGGCAGGGTTACCTGCAAAGGCTCAAGTTCTGCCAGTCGCCCTGGTAAAAGATTTAATAATACTAACTTGCTTTTAATTCCTGTATCAGCAACAATGTAAAAAATAAAAAAACAAACTGTTTTCCTTCATTGTTCACAGACCCTGCTATTTAGAAGATCACTCATCTTTGGAAGAACATTTGGCAACTCCAGAGAGCTATTCACAAAGTCTTGGTTGAGCAGAGCAAGTTGCAGGTAAACCCTACAACCAGTACTTTGCTCTACTAGGCACTGACTTGCTCCAAAATCTGTCCTATGGCATTGAACTCCAACACTTGCTTGTGTATAGCGGTAGGATAATTCTGCTCTTCAGGGTGATATGCAGGAAGGATGGGATGGGTAGGTACATGTTAATGTTTGTGATGAGCTTTGGGTCCTGTTCTGATAACAACTTGGTGTGGAGGGGAAAAGGAAATGTCAAAGTGATGCTCAAGTTATTCCCCAGAGTCTAAGAATCACAGAATTGTCTAGGTTGGAAGAGATCTCAAGATCATCGAGTCCAACCTCTGACCTAACACTAACAAGTCCTCCACTAAACCATATCGCTAAGTTCAACATCTAAATGTCTTTTAAAGACCTCCAGGGATGGTGACTCCACCACTTCCCTGGGCAGCCCATTCCAATGCCTCACAACCGTCTCAGTAAGAAAAATCGTGCACTGAAATTTCTCACGGTGTTCTCATTCCTGAGAAGTGGTAGGAAGCACCCCACCTTGGGATCTTCTGAGAAACAATAAGGAGTAAAATCACTCAAAGGGCAGCCTGTGGGGGAACCATGCCAAACATGGAATTGGAGGACTGCAATCCATTTAAACTCAGGCATCTCTAGTTTGTAGATTTCACGGCAGCTTGTCTAGATTTACAGGTTCATCCTGCTGCTGTAGGAGGTTCTGAAAATTCAGTATATCCATCATTGTCCCATTTCAATTAAAAATGTAACTGACTGAACTGTTTTTCTTTCTAAAACTGAAATCCCCCCTCTCAAGCACCATGGGGACATAAACCTGGGTAGCCTCCTTGAGGGGAAATTCTCCAAAGTCACAAGGTGGTGCAAAGCCACTAGCAAAGATCTTCTTAACCTAGAGGCCGGAAAAGCAGGACATTTAAAAGGCAGAGTTATTTCAACTATCAAAGGTGATGCGTTGAAAAAAAACAGACAGACAGTGGCTCCTCCATTATTTCTCAAATACACTATCTCATTTCTTTTCAGATAAGTGCACCTGCACTCATTTCTCATAAACTCTCTTTTTTATTAAAAAAAAAAAAAAAAAAAAAAAAAGGCCATCTCTATTTACACCAGAATGTGAAATAATAAATTGCCCAGTTTCCTACTGTGTGAAAATGAGGAGTTCATCACACAGGGAAGCTGAAATTTCTTATTGCAATAGAAAAATTTACTTAATCATAAGAAGTGTGACATTAGAATATATGTAAAATTTCTCATAAGTTTATGCTTTTGTTAATTGCTCCTGTTAGGGGAATGTAATGTCAAGGATTTCCAAAACAAAAGATTCTATTTTAAAATGCACAGTCAAAAGCTTTCAGGTACCTGAAAAGTTCATGTAAATACTTTCTTTAGAAACAATTAATCTGCACCGTGAATATTTCTTCTCACTGATAAATGCATTTCCTTATGCCAGACACACATAACTTTCCCTGCCAAAAGTTCTATTTCTCTGTGTCTCATTTGGCATTTTATCAGATTGGGTTGTAAGACATCTGACATGAACCTATTAGTTTCCTTATTTAAAATATTTAGTATATGCTGTATTATGAGTTCTATTTCACCAATAATAAATGGTAATCATTCAGGCGTCTTCCATAAAATGTTCATTCTAATATATTTTATGCATTTTCTAATATATTTTTATGCATTTTATACCATCTACCTCTTTCTTTCTTTTGCTCTACTATGTTCTTATTCTGTGACTCTACTTTCATGCCCTCCAGAACTGCTGTTGCTGCTCTTTTTTCTGTTGGTCTGGACATAGCAGCATAGGTCAGGCAGCATGGAAGCTATCAAAAATTTGCTGCCTGATTAGGGTTTTGTTGATGTTGAAAAATAATTATTGACTACCTCTGTTCCCTCTTTCACTTTCTTTCCATCCTTCAATCTGCCTGTGATTTTCCCCCTTTCAGGCTTCAAGCTGAGACTACGCTCTCTAACATTTTCTAGCTCATTGGAGGTCATTAGCAAAGAGCTTCAGAGAGGCTAGACAGCATGTTTGCTCTTTTCATGTTGTTGTATTTCAATTTTTGATGGGACAGAATGTATTAAGATCTTCTCCAGTACTCTTCATTTCACATAAGCTCTTTGCTCCTTATGATCTAGGAAAAAAAAAAAGTACACACATACTGTTTCTTGCTTTCACAGCTGAGAAACAGCAGAGCCACAATTTCAAAGGTAAGGAACATGCTACTCTATACAGACATGGGCATATGCCTTTACATCACTGATACACACATACAAATTGAATTCAAGTATGTGACCAGGTGCTTTATTATTTATGTATGGAATTAAATTATAAGCTGTATGTATAATAAAATACATGTGCAATTGTAATGCATAAAGCCTTGAAAATCTGCCCCATTGTGCATTTTTATAGCTTATTTTCCAAAGTCACCAAGTTCTTATTACAAGCCTGTTTTAGACCCTGCCAAATTCTAGAGACTGTTTGTCAGACCATTCAAGCCTGCCAAATGTGCCTCCTCCAGCTAGCTCTCTGGAATACAAAGCCACCTAAATCTAATAGGTCCTACCCAGAATGAGATTTTGAGCTATTCAAATCAACTGCTACCAGCACATTTTCTTCACAGAGAATGGTATTCCTCTGAAGGGATTCCACGTTCTGAATAATAGGCAGGGAAAGCCTTGATAAGGTTGGGAAGTGAAAAGATACACTGTTAAAACAGTAGTTTAAGAGACTACTAACAAGTAAACAGGAGTTTTCAGAGTGACCTATTTTCTGTGGAGGAAACAACGAAAAACTCAAAGATCAATTGGAGGAGGAGGCAGTAGCAAAGGACTCCTGGGGATTCTGGAGGAAAGGTTCATTTGAGAAAACAAGGAAAGTACAGCAGCAGACAAAAAAAAAAAAAAAATTCATTCATTCACTCTTTCAATAGCATTAAGAGAATTTGCATATCCATTCCTGTTTCAGAGGCTTTGAGATTTTGTTTTTCTCCAGCTGTTTTTCTTATCATTGTGGCATGCTTTCTCTTCACACACACAGCCACTTAGCTCTCCGACATTCTCTTTAACAGACTGCTGGCATCTTTCAGCTGCTCTCAGGCCTTCCCTTTTAAATCTCCCAGCTGCCTCTCTTACCCCTCACATTACTGGCCTACTCATCTCGTGTATTTTTTTAAATCATTTCCAGCTGCCACATTTGGTGCTCTAGATATTTTTCATTCTCTCTCTGCCCTAGAATACATCACTTTGGAGTGGTTTTGGGGGCTAATGGGTTGACAGCAGATTTCCAAAGCCTCTTTTTGCCCTAATAGGAATCTCATCCGAATCCTCTGAAGATTTGCACCAAACTGATCATTTCTTTTGGCTATTGGTGAATGCTGGGAAGGGGACAGGAGGAGGGCATGCTGCTAAATCCTCAAGGTGGCAAAAATACAATGATCAGATAATCAAATCCCACCTCTTGCTCTTTCACAGATCTCGTGTATCTTGCTCTCTGTCCTCTAAATATTGCCCAAGCTCCTACAGTGTGTGCAAAAGATCTGAAATTTAGAAGAAATTTCAATTTACGGTTTAGAATCACTTGCTCAACACTGTCCTGATCATTATACTGCTTTTGTAGACTGCAGTCTCTGGAACTGACATGGAAAAGGCTTTCTGTATGTTTAAGAAACATACTTCAGTACATGTGAGTCCTTTGACTTTCATGGTCAAGAAACAAACCACAGACACTGCGTAAATGACTGTTCAGACACACACTTGGTGGTTATTCTCATGCACTGCTTTGCCCTTTAAGAAGTGGGTAACACTTTCATTTTATCTTGGCTTTGCAGAAGTTGATACCAAACCTGTATGGCTATAGGAAAATCTAATTGCCATCTAATTAAATTTACTCCAAATTAAATTCAAAGCTATTAGACTTCCTTTCCTTCTTAACTTTGGCAAAAGTCAAATGAAAATCTGGCCAGGGGGAGGTGCTTATATGTTATAGGATCTTAACTGGGTCTTCTACAAGCTCCCCTTCAACAATGTCATTTGAACAAACATGCCTGAAGATTCAGGGAAGGATAGTGGGGGGAAAAAAAAAAAAAAAAAAAAAAAAAAAAAAAAAAAAAACTTTTTATAAAATCCAGATAGAAGCTGATTTACCCACTGGAGTGGACTGGGTGAAGCACTTTCTCAGCAACAAGTGCCCACTGTCCACAGTTGAGCAAAGACAAAATGTGTCAGCATCTAGCACTTAAATTGAAATAGGTCACAAACTCAGAAAAATTTCATTTATAAGCAGTCTACAGAAAGGAGCACCTGCTAGAAACTGCCTAAGAAAGGAGCCCTCCTCTATCACTGTGAAGAAGGGCTCCTCTCGTCATCCTCTTTTCTTTTCCTCCCTTAAGCTCCTGGCACAGGGAGAGGAAAAAAGGACTCCTGGATCTGCTTGCTCTAGAATGAAAAAGGAACTGTGTGTTGAGGCTTTGGAAAACATCAAGAGGAGCTTGCACTTTAAGAACTGATTTGGTCACTACAGTGGTCAGGATAGAAGCAAGCATGAAATCGGCAAGATAAAGAAGAAGAGAGGCTGGAAGAAAGTTTTAAAGACAGTCGCAGACATTTTCACACTGCCTAAAAACTGTTCCCCTGCCACAGCAGCCATCTCCACTGTACAGGGAAATCATTTAAAGTTCTTCAGATATCTTCAAAGAACTTTGGATCTGGTCTTGTGGTCTTGCCTTCAGATTAGATTATTTTAATAAAATGCATTAACAAACATTTTCCAACAAGCATGAGTGTGGATGAAGTCAGGACAGCTTTGGGCTCATCAGAACACAGATGATTGTTACCCAAGGTCCTCCCCAGCTTGGTTTCTGGTGCTTCAAAAAAAGCTTTTTGAATGCTCTTGAAAGAATCTGCAAGTTGGCTCATGAAATAAAGGAGAATCAAATTCCACAATTAACTAGGCAGTCATCTAGCACATGCAGCTCTCCATACTTGCCAAGCACTACCAATACTCTAAAAAAGAACCCTCTTAATAAGAAATGTTGTTATATGGATTAGGCTAAGCTGGGGTTGCCTAGCTCCAAAGAAACCAAATATGGTGACTGTGACACAGCACTCTACCTTCCACATGAGATCACCAGATATCTTTGATAGTGAGGTATGAGAATGGGATTATATATTCAGCATGCAAAATACAGAATCACTTTCTACATCTAGGGTTGCATCAAGTTAAATGGCAAGAATGCGATCAAATAGTTTCCCTCTTTAAAATAAAAATAAAACAAGCAAAAAAAAAAAAAATATCCTCCTCTTATTGTCACATTCCTGTAGTCATCAGACAAGTGCTGTCTGATGACAACAAACACTGCAGTCCTATATGGTATTTGACGAGTGCTGAACGCTGTAGTCTGGTACAAAGCAGGAACTGTGTCTAACAGAAAATGCAAAGTCATTTCCCCAGGCCTGACTTTATTCTAGGAAAATTATCTTGCTCCCTGGCCAAGAGATGTGTAGATCCTCTGAGTTACTGGTGGAAGGAGCTTCTTTTGGCTGCTTGCAAAAGGAGGTGAGGGGGACTAGCTCAGCTAAGATAAAGGTAGCGTCTGGGGATTCTTCATCTAGTTCCTGCTCCACACTGGTGAGGCCTCACCTCATGTACTGGGTAAAGTTTCAGGTGTCACAACATAAGAGGAACATAAAACTATTAGAGAGCATCCAAAGGAAGGCTACAAAGATGTAGGGTCTGGAGGGGAAAATATATGAGGAGAGGCCGAGGTCCCTTGGTTTGCTCAGCCCCGAGCAGAGCAGGCTGATGGGAGGCCTCATGGCGGCCTGCAGCTCCCTCAGGAGGGGAGCGGAGGGGCAGGCGCTGAGCTCTGCTCTCTGGGGACAGCGACAGGACCCGAGGGAACGGCATGGAGCTGGGACAGGGGAGGGTCAGGCTGGGGGTTAGGGAAAGGGTCTGCACCCAGAGGGTGGTCAGGCACTGGGACAGGCTCCCCAGGGCAGTGGTCTCGGCACCAAGCCCGACAGAGTTCAAGAAGCGTTTGGACAATACTGTCAGACACATGGGCTGATTTTGGGGTGGTCCTCTGGGGACCCAGGAGTTCGTAATCCGTGTGGGTCCCTTCCAACTCAGGGTATTCCGTGATTCTAGCTTTGTTTTATTATATATATAAGTTTTCCATTTTTTTTTTATTTGTTTGTTTGTTTTGAATAGAAATATAAGACAGGGATTGCCAGATTTTGCATCTTTGGTTAAAATTGAGCTAAGTCCTGAAGATAGTTCATAGAGACCATCATAAAAGCAATACAGCAACACGATAAATTACAAATGTATTTTATCAGCAGCAATAGTACTCCGTTGCTAATTCACAGAAGCAATCTCTAGCAGCCTGAAAGATATAAATTTAGATTATGATATCAGAGATTGTCAGTAAGGAATATTAGTAAGAATAGCCTGCATTTAAATAGACCATTTGAAACCACTGGAGGAAAATGTTCAAGATATATTTTAACTACTTGCCATTTCAGAAGGATCAAGATGGATTTACTTTGTGAAAATTTGTAATTGAAATTATCAAAATATGTCTATTGTAAAGAGTGGCATCTCCTGTAAATAGTTCATTAAAGAAGGAAAAATTGTCTAAGCAGAGATGAAAATGGAAGGAATATCTTCCACCACATTTCTCCTTGTTTGAAATGATGTTTTCTCTGAAAAAAAAATAAAATAAATTCCTTACAGAAAAATTGCATAAGTATGTAGTCCATTTAAATGTTCATTTACAAGGGTGAATGAAGTGTACAAGGTCTTCTAAGGGCTTGGAGGGAAGGACTATTATTTTTGTTAGATTAATTTTCAATACTCATCTTCCAATAAATCTAGTGTCAGCATCTAGTTAACTGAGCTGACACTGCGTAGATGCTGTACAATGTTTATATTACATGTGGTACATATTTCCCTGTTGCTTTTGCAAATGAACATTTGTAACTCTAAAAGTCGCACACTGTAAGTGAAGAACAGATGTCACAGACTTGAATCCCTATCACTGAACACTAAGGTATGAGAGAATGGGAGGAATTAACCAAATATAGTAAACAATTTCACATAATTGCATATTGAATTTTATCTCACATATTTGTGGAATACCAAACACGTATGTAACACATTCATTTTATGCTTAAAACACAAGTATTTTTTGCATATTGGGTATCTTCTTTTAATCAACAAACTATTTTAGTGTTGAGACAAAGTTGTCTGTTTTCACTTGTACACACTTCAATGAACACAGCTGTCTAAAAGCCTTTTCTACATAGACTTTCCTACAACATATCTACTGTGTTATAGAATCATAGACTCATCCAGGTTGGAAAAGACCTTCAAAATCACCACGTCCAATCATCAACCTGACCTAACAATTCCTATTGCTAAATCATGTCCTTTAGTGCCAAGTCTACACAACTCCCAAATACTTCCAGGGATGGGGACTCCACCACTTCCCTGGGCAGCCCATTCCAATGCCTGAACACCCTCTCCATGAAGGTGTTGCATGGTATATCAGTTCTTTATGAGGACTTTTGCTCACTGCAGTGTGAATAAATGTGCATGCATTCCGCATGCAGATTAAAAAGCTAGACTAACGCACTGGAATGTAAAAGATGCACTCACCACGGAACAAACACAGGTGTGGTACCACAAAGCTGCAAACCCAAACACCTCAGAGGACTGTGTAGAGGAAGGGACTTTCAAATAAGTTTAGTATCAGTGGGTCATATTTTATTCTTTTGTAGCTTTCACTGAGTTTGTCCAATGACATTGTGTGGTGGGTGCTCTTGTAAAAAAAAAAAAAAAAAAAAAAAGCTAGAAAAATACAGGTATTAGTTCATGTTTTAAGAGAAGTGCAGATTATATAAGTGCTTTCAAAATACTTGAGTGATGAGCTGGAATTATTGCAGTTTTAATAGTCATTTTTACCTAGTTAAGACAGTGGACCAATGCTGAATGTCTATCAAATGACTGTTATTCAGACAAAATAAGGCAGCAGGCTTTTTATTAGTCAGTAGTCATAGCAAAGGCAGGTTATTTACAAAGTTGTGGAAAATGTTTTAAAAGTTGTTGCATATAAACAAAATGATTGTTAGAAAGTCTCAGTTCTTCCTGTACCATAATTTTACAGCCTCAGAATCAAGGATCATGCTGCAAAGTCCAACATTGCCTCCATTATTCAAATGTAGCACTTGTGTAAATACGAGCAGTAGGCTATGCATCGTTTCTAGTCTCCTTCCTCTTTTTAGGACAGCACCCCAAGTGTCCTGTCAGTACGTACAACCCATAGAGACGACCAAATGTTTGCTGCTACAACACACCCATGGAGCTGGTAACGGGCAATCCCACTTTATCCCACACACCACCAGCCAAAATAGCCAGTAGTGCTGCCAGACTCAAAATACCTCACTGTGTCCTTTTGATAATACCAAAGGACAGGAGGCCCACAGATTCAGATCCATCACTCTTCTGAAACAGATGCAACTTGATGGGAAAAGTATCATAAAACAAGTGAAGAGCCAGTTGTATCATAAAACTTGATTTGAGGCAGTTGAGCCAGCTGTATCATAAAACAACCAAAGAGCCAACTGGCACGTATTCCACTGCTTTTTCACCATTGATGTGAGCTTTTACTCACTACCTGTATAGCTACTGATATGCAGGTTTGGTAGCAAGTTATTTCATAAAGCACGTAACACGTTCTAAATACAGACATTTGTGCTGAGCTGTAGCACTGCAAAGCTATCTGAATGCAGAGCCCGCAGCATGACAGGTATGACTGAGGCTCTCAAGTGCAAGTTATTCTTATAAAGCCCAATGCAAAGTTCAACAACTGAGCTTTTGATCCACAACATTTGGTCTGTGACTCACGCAGGAATTTGACACGTTCCGACTTTGCTGTAAGTATCTTGACAGAGGCTTCCTATGTGGTTAATAAAAAATTAATAGAATAACATCTTGCACTCAGATCAGTCCGTGGCTCACTGATGCCTACCAGCACAGCGTCAGAGCCCCTGCTTCCCAACAGCACATCTGTGGCCAGCATCTGAATTGTGTGTCTACTGGGGAGGCTTTGTGGGCATGACTGGACAATGACCTGGCAATATACAATACAGAAGCCGCTGTTGACTGGCATATATGTTTGCTACAGTCACATAAATAAAGTTTTAAATCATTAATAGCGTGCACATTTCTAGTTGGAGATTATATTTCAAATCATTCAAACAATTGCATGAATGCCGTGACAGACATGTAGCAGCTATAAATCAGCAGATCTCTGCAGCTTTCTGTACAGGTCTGGTGACCTAGAAGAACTGAGAATCTGACCTGAAACATTTAATAGGTAAAAATAATTGTTACAGATAAGAGCCTACTTCTAAAATATTAAGAGAAATATTTATATCACAGTCTCCAAAAATATATTAGCTGATTAATACTACCCAAAGACATAATCCTCGTCCTAAACAGGTAACAACCTCATCTGAAGATAAAGGAAAGTAGGGAAAAATACGATACCAGAGAAGTTTAATACAATACTATCTTCAAATTCTGCAGTGTTTTCAATATTAATGATTATTTATCTCACAAACAGAAGTTTGAAGAGGATGAGAAGAACACATTTGTTCTGGACCAAATTTAATTTTTAGTTAAAATCAAAAAGCCCCAAGCCACTGTCAAAGCAAAACTGCCACCCAAAGCCATCCCCAGCTGAGAAAACAATCTGTGATTGTATTTAAAATACCTAGCGGTGGCCTGTCCATATTTTGTACCAAAAAAAAAAAAAAGTCCCCCTGACAAAGAGGAAATAAAAAACAAGCTAAAAGAATCTTTGGCACAGGAAACAATTATGTAGCAATAATGAGGTGGCAGTAATGAGGTTGTTTTTGATCCCAAGCTAATTCAAACAGTTAGAAGATGCACCAATACATACCAATGTACCAAATAAGTCCCACTCCCCTTTTAACTTTGAGGGGAAAAAAAAAAAAGGAGAATGGGAGAGTGAGATTTTACAGAATCAAGTCCTATGAATTAATTTAGGAAATCTGCATTAAAATTGTAAAAATTTGGAGATAATGTAGAGGGAGCCACAGGATGATTTGTAAGCACTTTCAATTCTACATTTACTTCCATTGTATTGAAATCACTCTTATTTAGTCCGAAGCTCCATTCAACAAACAATTTGTGCCTGAAACAACAAAAAGTAGCTTGGCCAAGTTTCCTAACAGATCCATGGATAAGACCACAAAGCACTAGTCTACAGGGAAAAGCAGTCGACTTGGCAAGTCTGCATGTGGCATGCTGACCTTTTTTTCAGAAAAGGTCACCACAGAGTCAGGTTCCTGAACTTCCCAGGGATTCTGCAGCTCTAAAGCTAGGGGTGTTTCAGACTATAGCATCATGACAGCCTGAAGCAAAATGAATAAATCGTTTTTTTAGTTCACACAAAACCTTTTCAGGAGTCTAGGAGCAATCAGGAGTGGTATCACTCCAGTTCCTGGTGGTCAGTAACTGTGAGCATTGCTGAAAGCCTCAGCAAAGCACATAAAAGCAGCTGCACTTGGGTGAAAAGCTGCACGTTTTAGGGTTTATGGGAGGAGGTCTGACTGTCCGTTGTCTGCTCTGAGCATAACGAAGAGTGTGCGGCTTACAGAGCTATCAAGCAGCGCTCTTTGCCACAATCAATGCACTTGGAAAGAAAAAAAAAAACAGTCTGTGATTTTTTTAACAAGTATTTTTAGTGGAATAAAAGCACACTATACACCTCCAACTGCAGGAAGCAAGTTCTAAGCCATGACAGGTTATAATAAATTGATTTGCTAAACATGCAAATAGAAACCCTTGAGTTCCACAGCACTTTAAGCAATGGAATGACAGACTGAAACAGGTTTAACCCTGATACTAGGGTAAATCTTAAATTATGTGTGCAAAGTCTTTCGGTTTTTCAGGGTGTGGCTCACATACAGAATGGTCAAACCAGTTTTTAAAGAGGAAAAACTCAGAGCAATGATTTTAAAGAATCACAGAATAACTCAGATACAGAGCTGTAGATGATATAAATCATATTAGTATTATTAATTTCAAAGGAGCTATAGCTGCTACACTGTTGAACTTTCGGATGATTCTTTCAGATGAAAGTATGTTAAATGTTGTAAAATGTGCCTTTATTTAATCAATTTTATATATTTTTAGATATAGCTCCCTGGTTTCATGTTTTTAGGTTACATCAGGAAAAAAATATAGAGATTTAAATAAGGCGGAAGCAACTGCATGGAAGGACTCCCTCGCTGAAGTTAAGAAACCAAGAAAAAGTAAGAGGGTTGGTCTAGATGATCTCCACAGGTCCCTTCCAACGTGACCAATTCTGTGAGTCAGTGATAGATATTTATACATACGTTATATATCAGATGATATATGAAAATTTTATATTGTATATCATGTAAATAAAGGAAAGTTAAAGAAAAACTGATTATTTGCTTTAAATAGATGTCCAAACTAAAAAAAAAAAAAAAAAAAAAAAGCATTAGCAAAGAAAAACAGTAAAAGATATCTAAGATTTTAATGACACACTGCAATTCAATGTGTGCAACAGAGATGAGACCCTTATGACTACTAGTACTGGAATAATCCTTATACAAACTAGATCACTCATGTGTGAAGCATCATATACATGTCATATACATGACACACCAGTTGCAATACAATATGGGTTCACTTGTTCTTATCATTTCACATGTAATCCCACCTTTCCAGCTAGTCTGAAGTCCATGAATGCTGCATAAGGGGAGCTAGAAGTGCACCCCTAGCACCCAAAAATGCTTTTTTAAAAAAGAGGGAATGTGATTGCTTTTCAACCAAGTATTAACACCAGGCAGAACTTTCTGCTGCCGTACAGAAACTGAGTAATCGTGCCCTGTGCAGGTGGAGCGTGGGAGGTGAAATGCACAGGCAGTGAATGAGGTGGCAGGGCAAGACACACACCCACCCACACAGCAGCTGCACCAGTCAATAGCCCCAATATCGGAAGGAGACAAGCTTTCTTCAGAGGTGAGCTGATTCAGCTGCACAAAGGCTTTAGGAGGTTCTTGCTGACATTTTTGCTAATTATTTGCTGAATTACAGCTATCTCCTATCAAATAAGGGTAGCAGCTCAGCTGACTTCAGCTGGAACAGGAGTAGGCCCATAAGGACAGCCACCTGCTCTTTCAAATCAATGGCTAAACTTGTGTTGGCTTCAATCATCCTGGAACAAACAGACCTTTAAACCTGGAGCTCTCCCTTAAACAAAAAACGGACTAAAATCAGCAGGTGTTTTGCTCAGAAAGGTTCCTGCATGAATTTCCAATTTCTAAAAACAACCCCATGACAGATAAAAATGCACTGGCAATCTTCTACTTGGTGTCTACACTGAGATGCGTTCTTGTAAGAGGAAGAGACTTGAACATCTGTGATGACCTGAACCTTCATTCGTTATCCTCTTCCTGGTCAATATTAGGTAACGTGAATATGTAGATACGTACTTTAACTCACACGTGAAGCTAATTGTTCTCATGCTCTTAGTTTTTGACATTCAGCCAACAGTCAGATACGCATGGTAACTATAAATCTAAGTTTTGTTTGTATTCCTTACAAAATTAATATTTGCATATCTGAAAGTGAAGAAATTAAATAGGTAGTGATTGATGTCCTAGAACCCATATCCAAAATGTCAACAGGAGAGTGAAAAATAAAGTAACTAGTGAAAGCAAACAAATAATAGGCCCTTCTGTTCTGCTTTTGTTAATTGAATGGTTAATGACCACACGAGACATGCAACCTTTTGGCCGGGGAAATGTATCGCAATAAAAATCAGGACACCCACTCAACAAACCAACCTTGAACAAACCCCCTACGTGGAGCATCAGGTTCCCTACCAATTTTGTTCAATAACACTGAAAACAAAAAAGATTTAAGGAAGATCTGCTAGCAAGGATTCCTGGGAAAGTTACATTACAGAAATATTTCAACTTTTGAAAAGTTATCACATTAACACTGGTGAACCATTATAGATATTGATGGATAACTCAGAAAGAAGGAATTATATGCGTTGCTCACCAGAACTGATGATGGAGATCAGCCTATGGTTCCAAGAATGTTAATGTGAGAGCTCTCTTCTCTTTTGTTTCCCTAAAAGATTTCACTGTATTGTTTCTCCAGTGCATTTTATTTTCCTTTTGTTAAGTGCTGTACAAGAGAACTCTCACCAGTTCATTCCTTGCTGCCGATGAAATGCAACCCAAGGTCCCCCAGTGTGGTTCGTACCTTTGCTTATCACTGATGTGCATACACAGGAGGTCACAGAAGCCACAGTCAAACCACTCAACCAAGCTGATCGGTTTGGCTGATTATTACAGGTGCAATGAAGCTGGTGGCTGGAAGAGGCTGACATTTCAGGATTGGTCAGCTCAGATGCGAGCAACAACCTTTTATATATTGTGAGATCAATATGTGCCTTTAATGCTGGTTTGACTTTTTAAGCAATACTTTCTTCATGGCGACACACAGCTGTTTTGGTTAATACCCTTTAATGTTTTACAAACACCACAAGACACACAGCGTTTAAACAACACTATATAAGCTGCAACACCTGAGTCTATCTTATACTGGGAAATGAGTTAGAGCTGCTTACAACACATGCATGACTGTAAATATAATGGAAAACCCTACAAGTGCTTGTGGCCACAGATTCTTTATGAAGGTCTTTCTGGTTTCTTTTTTTTACATCGAAAATTTTTACATCTTATCCTAGAAGGATATGTGGGATGTTGGATAAAATGATCTTTTTATCAACTATTATTTGGTTGTTTCACAATATTATAAATATTTTATTTATTGCTGAATTTATATTATATTCTAAGCAATTCTGTTTTCCTTCAAATCTTAGTATACTGTCAGCCATATTAGCTGATATTGGAAAATCGAATCTTCATCATATTTCTTTCTTGTGCTCATTTTTTCATACTTAGAGATAAGTCAGGGCCAGTTCTAAATTACATTTGGGGAAACTTATATAGAACCAATGGTATTGTTTCAGAGGTACTGATATAACTGAACCAGAATCTAAGCTGAAGTTCTTATTTACACCAACACTTTATATATTTTTAATGCTCATGGTCTAATTCATAAATCAGCTTTAGAGTGATGTTTTCCTTTTTTTCCTTTATGAAGATACAAGAATGTCACATTTGATGGGGGGATTAAAAGAGAACTCCAAGATGAATTATTCAGGAGAGCAAGCAATATTCTTGAAAGAAAATGATAGCTTCTAGAAATATTGTGCAGTATGTACAGAGCCCAAATAAATACAGTAAAGCAAGAAAATAAAAATGAAATAAATAACTGGTTTTGAAACAAAAAGATTGTTTCTGGTACCTCAATCATTGGCCCACATTTATTCAAGTGAAACATTAACCTGGAAATGTAGGGTGAATTGCTGATCCTGTTGGTCACTGGCAAAACACTCACTGACTTGAGGGGGAACGAGATTTCACCCCAGCAGTGTGAAGTATTTACAGTTCTTTCTAATCTATTTTAGGAATCAAACTTAAATATGTTGTTTTCCTTCTCTTTGCTCCTTCTTCCCTTCTTGGAAAAAAAAAAAAAAAAAAAAGGTAGACTGGAAGATGATCTGGCTAAAAAGGCAAAAATTGTTTTTGGCTTTATATTTGTTCCTCTATTTTCATGGCAGAAGAATTTATAGATTATGGTAATTGAAAAAGTAAGGGAAAAAAGTCAGACATTGTACAAAGTATATCAGGCTAAGGTCCTTGTAAAATGAAAAGCCCTTCTAAATTCAACAGAAGAAATAATTCTGCAACAGCTGAATGAGAAAAGAATGCATTGAGAAGGACAGATTTCAGAAAAGGTGGCTGTTCTCAAGAAGCTCTCAGAGTACTGCAAACTAAAAAGGTGGGTCTCCATTTGCCATGGAGAAGGTGAAAAGCAGGGTAAATGACTCTGCTAGGCACTTTGCTGCTGTGCCTGATCAGCAACTTGTACCTAATCTAGGCAGTCATCATTTGTAAAATAATAATTTAGGCTGACAAAACTGCATATTAATATGAGTAATGTACTGTACCTAGGGATCCATGCCAGCTGTCTCATTTTTCAGGAGGATGTAAAACTGAGATATCCTCAGCCTTCCAAGTCCGTGGTTGGGGGAGAGGTTGAAGGAGCAGAAGAAAATTCACACTGCTATCGCTCCCGGCATTCCAGTTCTGTATTGGAAAAGCATAAAATACCTCAGTACCTTTCAAGAATAAATCACAGATTTCAGAGACTGACATTCAGAACTTCCCCCCTACCTTCTATATTAGGATTAGTAAGCATACTAAACCGTGACAAGGCCAAGCATGGTGTAAATAGTGAGGTAAAGGTCTTTATTTTCTGCCAGAGTGAACTGTTCTAATGGGGGGACAGAGTGGCTTTCTCACCCACCCAGAGCCAAGGAGCTTGGAGATGGACAAAACCAGCTAAGTACACTGTTGGTAGAAGGGGTAGCAAATGTTAGCAGCAAAATCACTATAGTTAATTTGAAATAGAGAACAAGGATTCTGTCTCTAAGGAGGTTTATCTGACACACATGCCCTCTCCGATGAACTGCTCACTGAATAAGGACACAGTCTAATAAAGTGCTTGGAACAACACTAAATTATACCTGTCAGAATACACAGCTAGTTACCTGCTCACATTGCTCTTTGCTTTCCTATGAAGTGTTCTGTTTGTAAAAATTATAACCAACAACAACATCGGTGCTATCATATGCACGGTGGAGTAAGAGACATAGTGGGAGACAAATGTGAAAGACTAGTAAGGCAAATGTGAAAGATCTAGTAAGAAAAAAATGCAGCTGCAAGAAAACAGATTAAAACAGCAGATTTTCATGCCTGACCCATTTGCACGTCCTGAAGGGGACTGGAACTCATGAGGATGCTGAGACACTTCGGATGAGCCAAAGCAGCAATGGCATGAAGATCAGGAAGCATTTTTGGTAGTTTTTGACTTTCAGCAATATCTGGGTACATGTGCATTTTCCTCACAGATGGCTGGACTGCAAAGCACTGAAAATCACGAGGTCAAGCTGCAACTACCCTACCAAGATGCTTCACAGCTCATTTCTAGGGCTGGCACGGTGTCCCAGCACCATGGTGAAGCTGTCCTGAAACCCAAAGCAGAACCATATATTCAACTACAAAGCCCGACACAGTACCTCGCTCTGTTTAGTGATGCTGATGCATAGCCAGAGGACACTGCTGGTCTCTCAGTGCATCCAATGCAGCCTAGATGGAAAGAAACAGCTAAGAAGCTCGAGCAGAAATGCTGGTGATTCTAAAATGGGAAAATTACCATTGACCAATGAGTAAGGCTTTGTCAATCATTTTGACTGCTCCTTCCACAGTTTTCCTACGTGACAAAGAGTAGCTGCAGATGATGTAATGCTGCATTCACACACCTGCAAGTTTTGTTTTCCTTCCCCTGATTCTCAGTCAAATCACCCTCATGAAAAGTATTCCTTGCAAATGTCTTCTTGTAATTAAAATCATGAAACTTCGCTTGAAATCTGTATCAAAACCCAGCACTGTTTAAGACAGGATTTTAAGCAGTACCACAGAAGCCTGTATCTCATGATAATAAATAGATAGGGCAATGTAAATACTTAGCAGAATTGGAGCCCAAGCTTATGATACTCACTGAGTAGCTTTCCCAATAGAACAGCTCCATAGGAATGAATTAAAACACCAAATTGCCATTAGAGAAAATAGTCACACAGATTAGTATTTGTGAGATCAGGACATTTTCCCCTTGGATTCAGCAAAGCCCCTAAACATTTACTGAATTATAAACAAGTGAGTAATTCCTTCCCTATGCTACAAGCTGCTCAAATACAACTGGAATGCCTGAGTGCTCTGCTACACAGGGATGCTATTACTCACATCCTTAATGATAAGCACGTGCTTCTTATTTAACTTTTTATGTTGCCATGCCTAAAGAGAAGCATCCATCTAATTAATGTACAGTTATGAGAGTCCACACCCCCAGAGCTTACTGTATAAAAGAGAATACAAAGAGACAAAAGCAGTACAGTGACAACTTATCAGCCAAATGTAATTTGAACCTGCCTTAATCTTATTTTATAGCTAATCTGATTAGATGATGACATATTCAGCCTTATTTCACGCTAGTGAGAGAGGACAGAGTCCACTTTTTTGGCAGAATCTTCCTATTTATTTTTTTTTCCCTGTTTGTATTAATGTTGGATCTGTACAAGGTACCCACAAAGCATTTCTCACTGATCCATTTAGTTAATCAACTGTGTGCTGTTTTTTTCAAATGCTGAAGACTAAACTGTAGATTTGGTAAGCAAAGGACATCCTGACAGTACTGAATGCACTCAAATATTACTTAAGCAGATCTATCAAGTCACGCTACCATGATTTCCACAAGATATTCCAATTTGTTTTCACCTCAATATGTCCTTATGCGTTTTTACTTCATATTAATTCTTCTGCATTGCCCCAGCAAAGATAGATCTCATGAAATCAAGGAAATGAGCAACAATACATGTATTTGTGCTTTTCTCCAAACTCATCTACGAATCATTTAGGTGCAACAGAGAAATTTAACAACCATATACATTCAAAATCCATTTTCAACAAATACTGAGAAGGTAGGTATTAACATTTTTGACAGTTTTCTTCTGTGAAAAAACATGCCTGCAAATAAAATAAAATATGCACCAGATATTTTCTTCTAAGTAGGTTACTATTCTGTCATTCTATAGAGATTTTGATCTCTACAGCAGCTTCTGACAAGCACTTTGGGATCCCCACACAACTTCAGAAATGCATTCTTCTATAAAAGGCAATAAAATATATCAGCCTTGGCACAGATTGTCTGCAGCAGCAAAGTTAAGAAGTAAAAAGAAAAGTTATATTAAATGCCATACACTATACTCCATGACGCACTATATTTCAGTTGGATATCTGCCAACAAGAGGGCTTTTAGTATAGACACGTTTTGTATAAGAGCTCCTTAGAATTTCAGGAGGAGTTTGGCATAAATTAGTATCATATATATATATATATATATATATTTCTGGGATTAATACACTTTTCTACATTTTTAGAAGACTGAATGTTTCAATCCTGAAGTTGGTGATCCTTTCCCTACCAAAGAAGTATACAAATAATAACCTTTACCTGTTTATGTTGCAAATACTGGCATTAATTTTCTACACATAAACCTAAGCCATTATACGAATGCATTGTTAGACTGAAGGAAAAGTACTCAGCACTGAAATCTGATATTCCAGGCTTCCCTTGCTGAGTGTTGCACTTGATGTCAACACCAAGCAGTTTCGAAACACGTTTTTATTGCTGTCCAAGCCTTTTTTTATTATTATTTTTTTTGGATGGGTTAGAGCAATAGAGTTATTGGATGGTATTTGGATGGGTTAGAGCATGTCATCTACTCA